AACAAAGGGGAGAATTTGGTTTCTATTTCTTTATATTGGCTTTATACACTGTGATTTGCCTGATGGACTTGACTGACCTTCTCAATGCAATATAAACTCTCAGACTGGTTTGCAGTCTCTCTCCTTCTCTCTCCAATCCATTGCTTTCACCAGTGCATCAGATCTGCCCTAATTCACATATACTGTTTTGCAAACTTGAAGATTAAAAATAGTGGTAGTAATAATAGTCAGAAGATTTGGAGCTAAATTTAGGAGATGGAGAGGATGTAAGAGTAAAAAGTCAGCCTGTGGAGATAGATGTAATCGGGAAAGATGTTTACATGTACAAAATTATTTGTAGCATAAACCACCCCAGTAACTGCTGGAGATCCTTAACCCAGGAAAGCCTTTCTATCACGCAGAGCAGCTATTGTGTGTGCACTCCTAAACTATTCTTTTTTTAATTTAAGAATCAATTCCTTGACTCTTCAGAGCACTTCAAAAATGTGGCTAGATAATTTTCTTCTTTCCTGAGCAGTTACCTAAATAGATGCAAAATGCACTAATTGCAATTATTTTTGATCTCAGAATTATAATTAATTGTCCAGATAGCTAAATGCAGCTTATTTTTATTTTAACTGTGCTTCCCTGCCCCTGTCGTGAGCCCCAGAATTCCTCCAGCTGTCTCCTTCCACCCTCCTGGTTCACCCCCTTTCCCCATGCTCTAGCAGAAGGTCTGTCCTGATTTCTTCCATTTGGCTCATTGCATCTCCGGACAGAAAAGTTGCAGGGTGCCAAGCAGAGGAGGACCAACAGCTGTCTTCCCCTCAATCCTCTCATTCTTTCATCCTGTCCTAACACTGATGTGTCCTTCGCATTGCCCCTGATTTCATCGCCAGATGCAGGCAAGCAGTCTTGAATGCTCTGCAAGCGTCTCTGCCTGTCTCTCATGAGAGCTGCACCAGCAAAAAGCAGTATGCCATGAATCACGAGAGCTGGCAGTGCTGCATATATCTCTATGTTCAGGAGCAAGCAGAAGGTCAGCTCTTCAGGTGAGAACTTTAGGGCAGCATTTCTGCTTCCCCCGCTGCAAATCATGGCCTAATCTTCCTCCTTTGCCACTTGACCCCTTTCCTTCAAAGGTTGATGCATGTTTCTCCTTGAACATCCTCTAACTTGGAAGATGGTTGGGGAGCAACGAGTCAACATTTGGTAGGTTTATAGCCTTGGCTATTAGAAAAATGATAATATTTGTGGGTATCTAAATGGTAAAATTGCCACAATTTCTACTTTCATACTAACTAGGTGACTATCACTCTACCTAAAATGTGACTGTTAGGCAGGCAAGGGGAGGCAGAATATTTGAGAATAGGGGTTCATGGTGAGTACTGGTCCTGCCACATAGGACATTTGCCTACCATAGTCTGTATACTGCAAAAGTATTTGCTTACCTAGCTGCAGAGTCCTGGTAAAACAGCAAAAGCCAAAGTTGCCTGACTCCTTTTCAAATTCATGCAGACTTTCTGCCTCTTATGCACAGGACCAATAAGGTCATCAGATGAGGGCAGGCTTCTTACTGTCAAATTGGGCTATTCCTTTTTCTGAAATGGTTTCTCTCCCTTGGATAGCTGAGTCATTCAGAATAAGGACTGTATCTGCAGCAAGTGGATTTGGGAGAGTTCATCCCAAATCGAGTGCCAGCTCTAGTCAGCGAGACAGACTTGGCTGCGGATGTGTGAGTAGGCTATATATGAGGCCCAACAGTGAATAGTCTTGGTCAAAGGTCTTCCCAAAGCCAGCACAAATTCTTGTGTGCTATGTGCTTGGAACTGTAAGTCCTGGCAAGTGAAATGTGAATGCCCATGAAGAGCTCTAGATGGAGTCAGCTGAATGCAGCTGACCCTGGATTAATTGGGAAGGGAATGGGAGCAAAAGGAAAAAAGATGCATGGAGCTGGAACGAGGACCTAGGGCCAGTAGGCAACACTGACAGCTTTCTCCAGTGATGCTTGGTTACAAACAGCTTGTTAAGTACTGATATGTTGCAAGAAAAAGCGGCTGATTTTTTTTTTCCTGACCTTTGGTTTAATAGTCCAAGCTCCCAAGGAATTTATCTGCCTCCTTAGCCAGAGGATTTGGGATGAGGGGCTTCTGCAACATTAGGCACTGAAGGTAACTAGCTTTTAATTTAGGCAAATAAACTTAAATGTCCAGATAAATTACTGTCTCTAAGAGACAGTGAAAACCGGTCTCTATTCTTGTGAGGGGGTGTGTCTAGTTTGTCTCCCAACACCCTCAAAAAAGAGGCTGGAAATGAAAGCATTCCTGTAACCTGGGCAATGCTCTCTGAGAAGTACGATACGCTCCCCCGTATCAGTCTTGCCCACATTTGTTCATCACTGACCCAACACATCAGGGGTGAAGGATGCCTTTGACTAGCTGAACACAGAGGCTTGGGTCCAGAGGCATCCCCTTTTAATGTTACCGTGAGGATAAAGCTTCCCTGTGTACCACCAGATTTTTTTTTCCTGAGAAAAAAATTTAATAAGAAAAAAATGTAAAGCTGGCATTTTTTTGGGGGGAGGGAGGGGAAGTCTTGCATTTTTTGACAACCTGACCCAGTCTTATTGTTACATCAAGAAAAGAAAGGTGGTCGTGCAGGTTGCAAGTAGCATTTGATGGCTACCTCAAAGTCATGAGACTGAGTATTTAGTGGCATGAAGGGTCCTTGATGCCCTTTCTGTGGAGGCTGGTTGACCATAGCAGCGATCCATGCTCTCCAAACCACACTTCCTGCATTGCTTATCTCAGTGAGGAGTATATCTCCTCATTGGACATTTGGCCTTAGCTCATCGAGGTGCAAGGTCAAGAACAATATTGCATTGAGTTACAGTCATAGCTTACTACCCTTTTTTAAGTGTGTCTAGGATGTAGCCCATGAATCTTCACTCTGTGGCATTTTTGGATCCTTTATAAGTCACTAGCAGGAGAATTTGCCTGTTTAGGGAGGAGCTGTAAGAAGGATATATTCAGGGCCTTTAGCACCGATGAGATTTTTGAGTGTGTCCATACTGCAAAATTTTTTGATTTCTCCTGATTTGAGGAAAAGCTCAAACTTTGGCTTCCACCTCCCTTCTCCCATTGACAATATTTTTGAAAAAAATGTGCACATTATAGAAATATGTAGGGATTTTTTTTTTTTCTGCAACTGAGAGAGGGCTCAGCTCTACATCTGTACAGTGTGTGAAAATAAATCTCCTTTTCTGATAGAAGTGATATGGCAATAGTCAATGCTCTCTATCATAACACCCTTCCATTCCCTTGGAAAAATCAGGCCTCCGGACACTACAAGGTCACTACCAGAGAACCCACAAGGACACAGATCCTCCTGTCTTTGAACTCTAGTTAAGATGGTCCATGGCAGAGAATTCCTGTGGCCACAGCCTGAGTGTCACATTTGAGCAGTATTAGTGAATATATATATAATATATATATACAGGAAGTGAACACTGTCTGCAAAACACTGACGAAGTGCATGCTTTTTGATGTATAATACTTTAATGATTTTATTAGGGCTATGCAGCGGAACTGATTATATTGCAGGACTGCAAAGGAGTTTCAAAGTGTTTTCCAAACGGAAAGCTTAGTTTGAGATCTGAGCTGCTTTGGTGCGAGACAAAGGCAACGGTCCTGGAAGCGGCCAAAAGTGCAGCTTTTGGGTTGCTGCTTGTACCTGGCTTTTTGGCCAAACGGTAACCTCACAGGGCACCTGTTTTCCCTGGGCATCCAAATTGTGCCAAAAGGCATATGTGGTTTGCCGTATTCTTGGCTGGGATTAGAAGGAACTCCATCTTCCTCACCCTTCCCCAGGCAATTTGCCACATCACCAGAGAATTTTTTTGGGGTGAGTAAAATCACTTTGTCAGTTTATCATCACATGACCCTGAAATCAAGTCATACCTATGGCGAAGCACTGCCAATGTGACATATGCAGGGTGCCCTATTTGGGGTGCTCTTGGGAAGAGCAGCACCCCTGTCCAAGCTTGAAGCCTCTCTGAACAGCGAAAGTCAACTGAAGAATGGCAATGAGCACTTCAGTCCACTCAGGCTCAGTCTGAGGTGGTTTGCTGGATTTGTAGAAGCACTTTTGAAACACGCTGGCATTCAGGATATAGTCATATCACCTTCGTTATGGATAAGACACCTAAAGGTAGATGTCTACGTTAGCTTGGTCTATGGTGTCTGTCAAGCTTCAGCTCATCCTG